AGGACATATATATGAATGCCTAATATATACAATTTCAAATTTTAGGGGTAAAAATATACCTTACTCAAGAGTATATTATATTTTAAGTAGCCACTAATCAATGGAAATCAAATTTATGCCATTTACTTTGATACCATATGTAACACATTTTATTTTTCTCCTCTTAAGCCAACTAAAAAAGGGGCAATTGCTTGATAAAAGAGCCCTTAGTGGCTATTTTATCCCCATTTATTTATCATTAAAGGTTCCAAAGATCCATGATGACAGTATATCCAAATTTTATCCCATAATCACATGTACTACACTTATACCCAAATTAAATTTCTAAATTAGTTGAGGGTTGGACTAAATTAATTTTCATAGCTCTTATAAAGTAGAGTTTTAAAAACTTTATACTACTTTCTTTCACTTTTTTTGCTTTATTTTAGATGGTGCACTTGAGGTGGAGCAAGCATAAGTCTAGACTTTCATCTTGAGGCTGTATCAACTCCTCTCGTCTGGAAGCTCATCCATTTCATGATTTACTACTCAAGGTTCTTAGGTTTTCTTTACTTGATTTCACTCCCACTATCATCAACATCACTCTCTATTACTCACTATCACAATCTCTTCATCTCTCTACTTATTACATCACTATTTATCACTCATTACAGTTGTCTAGTTCATATTTCTTCACTTTTCTGATCATGGGGGTCATATTACCTCTCTCCATCCACATGTGTCTACCAAACTCAAGATATGATGCAAACTATCTCGATGCAATGAGTATAGGTAAATCTAGGACACTTAACAACTAATTTTTGAGAGTCAGTTAAATCTAATGCACATAGAACACTAGGCATTACTATGGGCAGACATTTTACCCAATCCCACATTCCTATAGTAGCAAAATATAGTGATCTCAATAGATGCCCACAAAGACTACAAACCTTTTCTTGTTCCGCAACAAGCACATATGCTACCAACCACTTTGACCATATTCATAGGTTGCCAAATCCTCTCCACTATCACTCCATATAAATTGGCCATCACTATTTTCCATCATTTATCTGTTAGGCTGTTGTGTTCTATCATTCTCATAGTTACCATATTTAGGCAACACATTTACTTCCATCATTTCAATCCTTTAAAATTTTGAGAATATATGGGCTATGTTTGAGGCACTTTTCAAAGGTGTGGAAGCTATAAGTTGAAATCTAGGTAAGTGGTTCTCATACTTAATTTCATGTTTTCATCTTCTCTTTTCTATTTTTCCTTTGTTTTTTTTTTAATTTTATTTTCACTTTTCTCTTCTCCACTTTGTCTCTTCTTGTTTTAGTATTTAGTTCTTTTATCAAGTTTTCCCACGTGGTTTCCCTTTGACACCAAAACTCCATATTATTTTTCTTCTCTTTCTCTTTTCTTTGATTTTCTTTGGTCTTTTCTCCTCGCAGCAATAGCCAACATAGAGCATCACCTTGGAGTCTTCATCAAACACTTTGGCTGTGGGTTTTCACATGCAATGGAGCTAATGCATTCCTTTGTGGTCACTTGTTAGGAGATAGCTTAAAGCTTTGAGTGAGATTCCTTAAAATATTCTATGGTTAAAATATTTTAGGGGCATGATTAGATGTTGGAATGCAAAGGTATATTCCCTTTCTTCCCCATTTTTAGAGCAGGACGTTCATATAAGAGAGATTTTTTTAGCAAGATTTCAGGTGAGAGAGTGTTCTCCCCACCATTGAAAGGCTTCCCTCTTAACAAAATGAGGGTCTGTTACTAAGTGTTGTGCTCAGACACTAAAGACTTCTTGAGTTTCCTTTATTTTTGGACAATATAAGTCAATTTTCTTCTTTTTGCGGCTCATTGGGGAATTAATTCAACAAATGGGAATCATGGGCTTGTAGTCCTTGTCAAAATACATGGTTTAGCATCAAGAACTCTTAAAACAAGAATGAAATCCTTTCTCACAACCCAAGTAAGAAAACATCTTGGTAGAAAATATTCTTAAACTCTTGATTTAGAGCATGAAAATTTATGAAACTAGATGCCAATAAAGACCAAGACTATTTAAAAACTTTTTCTAGAAGTAATATTCACAAAAAAAAAAAAAAACTTGAAGAAATTCACTCAATTCTCTCAATCATAGCAAATACTTACCTTAAGAGATAAACACATCAAATCTCAAAGCATAAAACTCTTAAAATCATGTTCTTGGGCTTGGAAAAAAGTTTTCCACCTCCTTTATAGCTCCATGTAGAAAAAAATAAAATATGTCCTCCTAAGAAATGGTGAAAAGCAAAAAAACCTTTCCCCATGCTCAAAATAAACAGCATAAGAGAAAAATTGCTCCAAATCACTCCAAACTGACTCAAATTTCACATGCAAACCCTCCCAACTCATGAGCAGATTTATTAGAAGAGCTCAAAAAAGATTGAAATGGTGGTGTATTCAACTTATGTCAAACTTCCAAAATTACTATTATGTACTACAGCATGGTCTCAAGCTCCCCTTCTTCAAGCCAGGGATAGAATCACCTTATAACATTCTTTTCTTATTATGCCAACAATCAAATCATGGATGATGTGACTAAACATGAAGTGTTCACTCAATCAATACATAGATATGCACGATGATGAGTACTTGTGCTGGAGGTTGAGGAGATGTGGGACTTTGACACTCTCCTCTAGACATTCAGGAGTATGTTCTTTTAGAAGGTTTCCATGCAGCAGCTTGTCCAGGACTTATTCTAGTTTCAACAAGGCATGAATGAATTTGTCTTTAACTATACAACACGATTCAAGGCATTTTGGAATATCTACCTCAACAAGAGAGCAACATAGGAGGAGTCCATCGGAGTGTCAACCTTTGTACAAGGCCTCAATCCCAAGCTCCATCTAGAAGAAGGTCACCAAACACCACCACTAGCAATGTCATGACGCCTACACACTTAGAGATTGAGTTGAAGATGTTTCACAAGCTTGGTGTTTCATTCATTGAGGGGTTTATTTAGGGACCCTTAGCAGCTTGTCCATATGCCTTTTCTCATGTCACAACACTACAGCCAGTCACCAAGAAGATGCCCACCACAGTTGAGTCTGCCTTGGCCAAGTTCAAGGAGTACAAGTTGATCCTTCAGTGGCAGCAGGAGCAATAGAGCAAGCTCATGGAGGAGCTCTAAGCACTGAAGATAGCTGCATAGAACCACCCTCAACAACAATCATGTTGGTGTGAGGAGTGCAAGGTTTAGTCACACAACACAACTCATTGTTAGTGACTATATCTAGAGTTGCACTTGCAAAGATAGGTGCCACGTGAACAAAAAGTCCAACACCAACCATTTTCAGACAACATGGCCCTAGACACCTTTATAAAGTACCATCAGATGCTCCATTAGTGTGCCATTGAAGCACCACCAACAAATGATTGCAGCAAATTCCTAATGAATATGATTCATGTGGCAAAAAAGTTCATAGCAAAGGTGGCTATAAGAGCTCAAAGGAAGGCATAGATAACAATAGAGGAGTTGAACACCACATTAACACCAGCTTTAGATGTCATTTCCCCTCTAGTTCTCACTGCTTGCAAGTAGCCAAAGGGTCTCCTTTGATGTCAAGTGGTCACACAAGCAATATTATCGACTAGGTTATGGCAATTCCAATCATGACAACACTTGGCGTTTTTTGTCATCAATTCCCAACTTTACTTCAGAAACTTGAGGTCCCAATGCATACTCTTTATATAAACAGGGGAATATACCTCTTCACCACAACATCTCCTCACGCCCCTAGAATATTCTAACAGTAGACTATTTTAAAGAATCTCACTCAATGCTCTAAGCCATCTCTTAACAGTTTTGTAGCGCAATAAACTTGGAGCTTGGTTCTAAATTCATGTATGTTACATTTGGTATCAAAGGAACTATCTCAATGATTTTTTGTCAGCCTTTGACTCTAGTTGCATACATAGAGACGTTTTTAGTAGATATGATGTGATATATGTAGGATTAGTTAGATTGCACCATTTAATAAGAATGTTATATGTATATTTATTTATTGATAAAGGCATGCTGTAAACTCCTAAGTTTGGACTTCATGTATATTTATTTATTGATAAAAGCATGCGTATTTATTTATTGATAAAGGCATGCTATAAGCTTCTGAGTTTGAACTTCCCGAGAGGTCACCCAGCCCAGTACTATTCAAACATAAGGACACTTAACCCTAAATATCCCAAGACCCTTAACCAATTGGAAAAGAAGGTGCACTCTTATTCATGAGCCCTTTCCCTCTATATTTAAACTCCATGGATCATCTCTCGAATCGTTCTCTTTGGTTGGTTACAATCCACCACGCTTCCCTGTAAATACACACTCTCGTGAATGAAAGTTGAGAGCCGCAGCTCTCCTGAGAGCCCCGCTCTCTTGACACCCTACCCCTCGGGTCGAGCCCAACAAACTAGACCAGCTAGATATCAATCAACATGTGGTGTGATTCCCTTAGCCAACCAACAGAGTCGGACCTGAGACCGCTCTAATACCAAATGTAAGCTCCTAAGTTTGGACTTCTTGGGAGGTCACCCAGCCTAGTGATGTATCTGGCTAGCAAGAAAGATTATATCTTTCATATATAGATTCTATAAATGATTTTCTATATCTTCATGTAAATTAAGTTGATTATCCGAAGTATTGATAGATGATCTCAATGCCTCATACACAAAGTTGTAAGCAACCTTTCTTACTCATAATATTCATGTATTTCAATTTCTTTTTTTACCATTTCAAAAAACATTTCATGGTACTTTTCTAGAGGTGTAATAATACAATAAGTTGCAAAAGCATATATACTGTTATAGTGATTGTTGCCATTATTCAAGAAGCCACAAAGCTAATAAAGCAGTTCTTAAAAGTCACTAAATTTCCGAGATGGGTTTTGAAGAGGAGTCTTGACAAATACTTAAACTTTGGCATCTACGTTTATCACCTACAAAAGAGTTTAATCTAATTTTTTATTAGCATAAAACATATTAGGGCATAAAAGGAAGGAGAGATGTCTGGAGCAGACGATGGGAGCGTCCCGCTCGATGTCGCGCAGGCCGAGGGTCAGGTATGGCTGCTCAAGCTCCCAGCGATCGTTGCCACCGCGTGGAACGCGCAAGATTCCAGCGGCAAGAGCGTTGCCGCTGGCGCGGGGCCAGCGGATCCGACGCTCGCCAAAGTCACTTGCACATTCGATCCTCTCAATCCAGACCCGGAGGCCGCACTAGAGGTGAGCGCTGCGCTCCTGTAGGCTCGGCGTAGAGAATTTGCTCTCCCTGCTGAAATTTTTTCTCTTCTTTGCTGTTTGAAGTTCACAATGGAACTTTCGGGGCCAGATGACATCAAAGCTTATAGCCTCAATCTCCAGAAAGATGTCGTGCCAACGCACATCTTTTCCGACACACAGGGTGCGCGGATTTTCTCTCTTAGTTTTGTTTGATCGTTCCTTCGTGTGCATTAGAATGCATTGCGTTTTATTATCTGCAGAGAAGGAGTTGATTGACGCCGTGTTTTTCTTCTTTCTGCCATGGCAGGGAGGCTTGCCGTGGAGGGTAAAGTCGAGCGAAAGTTTGATATCAAACCAAACAGCAAAGCTCGCGAGGAGTACAGGCAGCTCTGCCGAGAGAGGGATCGAAAGTTTAACATGAAAACGAGAACGATACAGGTAAGTGAAGCTCGCAGTGGAGACTGATACAATACAGTGTTTCTTTGATCCATCCAGGTCTTGAAAGACGATCGTGGAAACCTGATGAGACCAGCTCTTCCACCGACGATTATGTTGCAGTCATCCAAGGTAATCCACCCACAAACTATGAGAAGTTATCCAAAAATCAATCTCTTTACTTTTTATTTTGAAGGATGCTGCCAAGAGAAAAGCGCCTGTCAATGCCAAGAACAATGACGGCAAGAGAACGAGGAGAGAGAGGGGCGAATTGGAAGACCATGTCTTCAAGCTCTTCGAGCAACAGGCCAACTGGGCTTTGAAGCAGCTCGTCCAGAGAACCGACCAGCCTGTGGTACGTAAAAGCAAACTCTTCTCTTCGTTACTGTGATATCGTTTTCACGAGCTCTTCTTTCTCAGGCCTTCCTGAAGGAGATTCTCAACGATCTCTGCACTTACAACAAGAGGGGAACCAACCAAGGGACTTACGAGCTCAAACCCGAGTATAGGAAGAATCCAGTAGAGGAAAAGCCTGCCGACGCAGCAGCACCTTGAATCGATCGATCGATCGATCGTAACAAGTACGATGACTGTAATTTCTCTCTGCGACTTATTTTGATTAGCAAAAATCCAAAGCTCAAGGCAAAAAGAAAATAAAAGCGAACCCAAGTTTTTCCCACAGGTACTTATTTCCTGTGCCTTGGAGCTCCCACGGGAAGTTCCTGGCCTTTTCTTCTATTGTTTTGTTGCTCGCTGCTTGGCGCAGCTCCTTTAGTCATCATGGCTACAAACTCGTCGTAGTTAATCTTTCCATCCTGTTAAGCAGGCCAGGCATCAGATTTAGATCTCTGTAAGAGTAAATGCTTACGTTGTCTGTGTCCACTTCTTTAAGAATTTCCTTCATTGTTTCATGGTCGCCCATACCGTATTTAACTAGAGCTTCTTCCAGCTCCTCCATCGTGATGTAGCTGTCACGAAGAAGCCGGTCATCCATGAAAAGCTTAAGGAAAGAAAGCGCGTACCCGCTATTGTCGTTGTCAAAGAATTGAAACGCGGAATATAAGTGATCTTCCTTTTGCATCTTGTTCATCTGCATTGTGGCTGTGATGAATTCGAGATAGTCAATCGTCCCGTTTCCATCGACATCGGCCTTGAAACAGGAAAGACAAATGTAAGAATGGTCTGAAGAGAAACGAGAGTGTTATAGCTTACAGCGTTCATGATCTGGCGGATTTCCGCATCCCTGAGGTTGGATCCCAGCCTTTCAAGACCAACTTTGAGCTCATCGAATGTAATGGTGCCACTGCCGTCTGTGTCCATGCTGCTAAACATTTCCTTGAGTCCTGTGATCTCTTCTTCCGAGAGGCTTGCTGCAATGACCTGGTTTGAGTTGTGTGAGTATCGAAAGTGAGCAATAAAAATATGCCAAGTTACCTTGAGCGCCAGTTTCTTTAGCTTGTTCATTGCGGTGAACTGCTTCATCCTCGACAATACCGCATTATCAAGTGGTGCATCTGGAGCATCACCATCTTCTCTCACCCAAGGATGGCCTGGAAATATCCAAAGTCAGTTAAGAAACATCCAAGGGTCGATATAATCAAACTTACTGAGAACTTCTGCCGCAGTGACCCTTTTCTTCACATCTTGCGTCAACATTTTCTTCACCAAATCCTTGGCCGATGACGAAATCGACGGCCATGGATCACTTACAAAGTCCACTTGGCCGCGAAGGACAGCATCGAAAATTCCCTGCTCACTTTCTGCCATTGGATAGGCAAATTCAGCCGAGTCTCAGACATTAATTACTGCATCGAACACTCACCTGCCCAGAACGGTGGTACTCCGGACAAAAGAATGTACAAGATCACTCCAGCGCTCCACACGTCGGCCTCGGGTCCGTAGTTGCGGCGAAGAACTTCCGGAGCTACGTAGTAAGCGCTTCCAACCAGATCCGTGAACTTGTCACCTAGAAAACCAAAACTTCAAGCCAAAGACTCCAAAAGCAACACGAAAACAAACAGCAAAACAAGCAAAACCGAAGCGAATGACAGTGCCAGAAAGAAAAACAAACAAAACAAGACAAAGACGCATCGCCAGCAATCGAAAGAGAAAAATGCAGCACTTACCATGCTTGAAGAACACCGAGAGTCCAAAATCCGTAGCCTTGAGAGGAGCACTCTCGCTCTTGTCCGCCAGGAGAAAGTTCTCGGGCTTGAGATCCCGGTGCATCACCCCGAGCGAGTGGCATATATACACCACCCTCACGATCGTCCGGCACAGCGCAGCGGCAGCTCTCTCGCTGTAGTGTCCCCTGGCGATGATCCGGTCGAAAAGCTCTCCACCCTCGCAAAGCTCCATCACCAAGTGGACCGAGTGCTTGTCCTCGTACGACCCTCGAAGCTCCACGATGTTCTCGTTGCCTCTAAGGTGGTGCATGATCTGGACCTCCCTCTTCACGTCCTCCACATCGGCCTTGGAGATAAGCTTCCTCTTGGCGATGGTCTTGCAAGCGTAAGTCTTCCCGGAGGCCCTGTCCGTGCAGAGGTGTGTGACCCCAAACTGGCCACGCCCGAGCTCCCGGCCCAGGACGTACATGGCTCTCACGTCCTCGAGCGGCTTTCCCAGCACATTGGCGGTGATGGAGTGGATCGTCGGCGCGTGACGGCTGCTCGGCTTGGGCTGTGGCAGCGGAGAGGTCGTCGGCTGCTCGCGATTGTTCTTGTTGGAGGGCGGCGATGGCTGCGCCGGGGCGGCCGTGACAGTGGCGGCATTGTTGGCCTTGGGAGGGAAATCGTAGGCGTTGTTCTTGTCATCGCGCCTGTGATGGTGGATATTTTCCCTGGATCCGTGTCCCAGGCAATTCCCCATTCTCCCCTGACCTGATAACGATCGATCGATTGCTCGAGCGCGCGGCGCTAGAGCTGGATTGGATCGATTCGCTCACCTGGCGCGCTCGAGAGAAGGATTACGCGGTGTTGAGCGTGGATCTTGTCCGGCGGCAGCTCGATCTCCTCCTCCTCTCGGACTTATCGTGAATGACCATTTCTATTCCTTCGCGACGAGCGTATTCTCGCCCCAATCGTGGAGAACGCGTTTTTCCTAGCACGCTATGACATGCGTGACGTGGTAAAACCTAGTAGATGACGTGGCCCTAAAAACCCTAAAACATTTTTAAAGGAATAATCCGTGATTATGACCAAATCATGTTTAACGCTAACGAACGACCTTTTCTTCTTCCACGCTTTTGGCTGCCTCTTCTTCCTCCTTTCGCGAGGAGCTGGGAAGAACACAGTGTGAGAGAGGAGATCGCGAGCGAGAGAATCGAGAGAGAGAGAGAGAGAGCTTAACTGGTACTTGTAGATTCTCGAGAGATGATAGAGCTGGACGGTCTCATTGGCGGCGTGGCAGCCAAAGAGCAAGTAGTTCTTGGGCTTGATCGCCATGGAGAATCGCATGAACAATGCCGAGTAGATGCACATCGCTGCAAGAAATTCCCTCTCGAGATCGATCGAAAGCAAAGATAATCCATCGAAATCCACTCACCGCAGGTCATGTTTCCAGACATGAGCTCCGGCGGCTTGCTTAGATCGGCCAGGCCCTGCGATTGCGCAATCTCTGAGAAGCAATTCCCCAAAAACCTCGAGAATCTAGGAGAAGAAATCCACTCACAGCCGCGACGAAGCCCCAATTCGCGATGGGACCCCAGAAATGCGTCGTCTTGGGGCCGACCTCGCTGTTCCAGATCTTCTTGAGCTGCGCGGAGAATCTCCCGGTGGTCTTCGCGGCCGCCATGATTGATCTATGGCTAGAAAGGAGAGAATAGCGCTATCTAGGCTATAAACCCTAATGTGGTGCCATTCATGCCCGCGGTGGAGCTCGCGGGATTGAGCGCTTCGCTGTGGAGGATTCCAAGCAGGACAGCAGAGATTCTCAAGCTTTCCGACAAGGTAGGCGATCCAGGCTTGCTCAAGGCGACGATTCTCAATCTTTGCAAGAACAGCGGCGACGATCCCAGCAGCAAGCCAGATCTCGAGACCTACGCATCGCTCCTCCGGCAATGCGCGAGCGCCAGGGCTCTGGATCTCGGGCAGCTCCTCCACGAGGAGATTGCGAGGAGGAGGTTCGATGGCTACACATTCCTGGGAAATACCCTGATCACCATGTATGGCAGCTGCGGCGACGTCGATCGGGCCAAGAAGGCGTTCGATCGCATCGACAGCCGCAATGTCTTCTCCGGGAACGTGATGATCGCGGCATACGCCCAAAACGGGCATTTGCTTGAGGCCGCATCGGTGTTCCAGCGAGTGCCAGAGACGAATGTGGTGTCTTGGAACTCTATGATCGCGGCCTACGCTCAGCACGGCGACCTCTATGAATCCAGGAAGCTCTTCGACACGATTCCAGAGAAGAACACCGTCTCCTGGAACTCGATGATCGCCGGGTATGCACAGAACGCCTTCTCCAAAGAGGCACTCAAGCTCTTCAAGGCCATGGATCTCCAGGGGTTCCAGCCGAACAAGGTGACCTTTGTGAGCGCTCTAGACGCGGCTGGGAATCTGGGAGCTCTGCCAGAGGGCTCGGCGATCCACGAAGAGGTGCTGGAACACGACTGCGAGACCGACACGGCCGTGGCGACGGCGCTCATCAACTTCTTTGGCAAGTGCCGTATGGTGGCAAAGTCCCGAGAGATTTTTAACAGTAGCGCCATCCAGAGGAACACCGTGACTTGGACGACGATGATCTCGGTCTACGCTCACAATGGCTTTCTCGACGAGGCACAGAAGCTCTTTGACGTCGCTCCACGGCCGAGCACCGTGACTTGGAACGTCTTGATGGCAGCCTACTGCCAAAGCGGCGATCCACACCAGGTCCAGGCCATCTTCGACAGGATGAGAGACCGGGACGATGTCTCGTGGAGCACTCTTGTGGGAGCTTACGCGCAGAGCAACCAGCACAGGACTTCCATGGAGCTCTTCAAGAAGATGGACGTGGAGGGCTACAAGCCGACGAGATTTACTTTCATGAGCGTTGTCGACGCGTGCGGTAAGCTCTCTGCGCTGCGAGAAGGCCGAGTTCTCCACTCGAGCATCATGAATAGCGCTCTAAAGTGGGACGTTGTCTTGCAGAACGGGATCGTCAACATGTTTGGGCGATGCGGCAGCGTTGAGGAGTCGAGCTCGGCTTTCCAGGAGATGCTCCAGAGGGACGCGGTCTCGTGGTCGATCATGATCTCGGCGTTCGCTCACAATGGTCACGGAGCCGAGGCGCTGGAGACGTTCCTGGCGATGAACCTCGACGGCCAAACTCCCGACGAGCTAACTTTCGTAAGCATTCTCTCAGTGTGTGCTCACGCTGGACTTCTTCGCGATGCCAGGGGCCATCTGGTAGACATGGTTGGAGACTACGCCCTGGTTCCAGGACTGGATCACTACGTCTGCCTGGTGGATCTTCTCTGCCGCTCCGGTCGACTGGGTGCCGCTGAAGAACTCGTCGAGACGATGCCTTACGAGCCTCACGGATCTGCCTGGCTGACGCTGCTGGCCGCTTGCAAGATGCAAGGTGATCTCAAGCGAGGAGCTCGGGTAGGAAAGTCTTTCCTTGCCACTGATCCGGATACTTCAGCTCCTTACGCACTGCTCTCCAGCATCTACGCAGAGGCCAAGCGGGTGAACGAGATGAGAATCGTGAGGAAGGCAATGGAGGAGCGTGGGATCAAGAAGCAAGCCGGGTGCAGCTATATCGAAGTCCACGATCGAGTTCACGAATTCAAAGCTGGTGAAGTCTCGCATCCCAGACACCGGGACATCCTCTACGAGCTGATGCAAATCCAGAGGAAGATGGTGGAAGCTGGCTGCGTTCGTGACACGAGGCTTGTGAGCTACGATCTGGAGGAGGAGGAGAAGGAGAATTTGCTCACGTACCACAGCGAGAAGCTGGCGATTGGGCTGGGGCTCGTCACCACTCGGCCGGGGACGGAGCTGCGAGTGGTGAAGAACTTGAGAGTGTGCTCGGACTGCCACACCGCCATCAAGTTTATCTCGAGGATTTGCGGCAGAAGGATTGTGGTGAGGGATTGCAACCGGTTCCATCACTTTGAGGATGGTGTTTGCTCCTGCAACGATTACTGGTAAGAGTATAATTACTTTGTATTAATTTATTTAAATGATGTCTCTATAATTATTAAAAATTAATACTCCTATTAAGCAAAAAGAAGAGAATATTCTAAAAAACTGCATTTCACCTATGTGCAAGATGAGACTGAACCTGGCCAAGAATAAGCATTAATTAATTTTACAGTTTTGACATATTGGGCAAATGACCTCAACATCTATGCTTGGGTGCATGGCTTGGGAGTTATTACAAACTTGGGAACTCCGAAGCCGTGAATGACACGAACTACCTCGCAGTTCGAAAGCTAACCGAGAGTTTGATCTCGCTCATGCGCCCATCGCCCGCATCGTCAACGTGAGGTCCCGAACAAGCCGATTGGATGTTGTCGAGCTTGAATCCTCCAAAGATCTTTCTAACTCCTGCACTGCAAAAACCAGCAGCCGATCGATGAGAACACTAATAGGTGGCGAAGTCTGGAGCGCGCTGCCGAACAGCACCATCCCGGACTCGAGGCAGCAAAGTCAGCAAGTTGCGGACGCATCCAGGATCATCGCCGCCAAGCTCTCGCCCATAAGATCTCAAACATCTTCGAGCTCTCGATGGAAGCCATTGATGAAATCCTCACGGAGTACCTCAGGTCGCGGAGGAGCTCACCACTACTGCTTCTCTAAGATAGCTTTCAACGCCTACAGGCGAGTTCCACGGAAGGAACAATGGGCAACCGGCCGACGTCGGAGCGCAGACACGGCCATTCTGTTGGCGTTGCGGCCGGCGATAGAGTCGAGCTCGGGGCGATTCTTCTCCAAGAGAACGACACTGCGTTTGACCTTCTACATACACTTCCACTTCATGGAGTGTATCAGAAAGGTGGCGGCGGATCAAGCACCTGAGACAAAAAAAAAGAAAGGAGAGTTCTCTAAGAACCGAAAGAGAAATATTTGCTTACATGCTTGGAAGACTTTCTCTGCCTGTAAGTAAACGTTAGACATCTCTCGACAAAAGCACACAAACACAAAAATGAAAAGAAAGTGAAAAAGGACTCACTAAGACAATGACAAAACACGAGCTAACAGACGCACACACACGAACATATCAAGCAAAACATATCAAGAAAAAGAAGAAACGGGAAACTCAAGCCCACCCCCAAGCTCCTAGAATCTCCAGACCTCTCTCGACAAAAGCCTCGACGATGCGATGATCCTCCTGTCTCCCAAGCTTGCTATGCCACATCACGCTCCTTGCCGCGTCCTTGTCCCGTGCAAACTCCGCCAGAGAAATCAAGTATGCCAGATTTGCGTCGCTGGCCGTCTTGAACCTTTCCATGGCCTCCATCACCACCTCCGCCGCCGGGACGCCAGGCACCACCATCGCCTCCCCACTCTGCAGCCTCTGGTAATAGGAGTAGAGCGACCAGTGAATCGCTCGCAAGCACTGTCGCTCCTCCTCGTCCTTGAGCCTGCTCGCGAGAACTGTCTCCAGCGTCTTCACCATCTCGATCTGGTTGGCCTCCCCCTTGAGCCAGAACTCGAAGTTTGCCTCGGCGAAGTCCCTGTAGTAGCCGTTCACCTCCGCGAGATCCTTGTCCAGCAGCGTCGCCAGGTAGCACTTCTTGCAGTCGCACGCGAAACCCAGCCTCTTGCGCCTGTAAGGATGGCCAGCAGAGAACGAGCTCTTCTCCAGCTTCGATATCTCGGGCCGCGACGTACCAGGTCACCTTTCCAAGATCCGTTTTGCAGACGTTTGGAACGCAGGAATGGTTGATGAAGCTCCGCAGGATCCAGGTAGACGAAGCCGCGCGAGGAGCTCGGATGGTAGGATGCCTTGGTGACGATCTCAAAGGTTCGCTTCACTTCAATGCCTTCTAGTGCTTCTCTGCCGCTGCTGTCAATCGGCCAATCCTCGGGAGTTTTCCAGGTCAGCCGGAAGGTTTCCATGCCGGGGACTTCTCGCTCGTCGCCCGCCACCTCGCAAACGAGGCTGAGAAGCTGCTTGTATACCCGTGAAGATTTCATGGCCATCTCAAGCAGCCGAGCAGCAGCGTCTCGGTCGCAAGCCGACTTGTTTTCACCCTGCTCGAAGATGATCGCGTTGCTCACGAGCACGACCTCGCCTCGGTTGATCTTTCTCGTCGCAAACAGCCCGCGGCCACGCCTCGTGCTCTTGTCTTCACACATCTTCACCTCCACCGGGCCAGCGTAATCGGCAAGCTCTGGCGCTTTGATCTCGCTGTTGGAATCGCTCCAAGGGCGAAAAGAGTTGGAAATCTCCTGAGCAACGCTGCTGCTGTCCCGGCTTTGCCTGGCAAGTTTCTGGGACTTCTCGAATAGCTGGTCGATGAATTGATCTGCCCGAAATCTCCCAAGAGCTGGCACGACCAGTCGTAGAGATGGAGCTTGAGCAAAGCCAACGCCTCGCGATACACACTCTTGAGAAGGCTGGGATCCATTTCAAGAGCGGCACTGGCAGCGTTGACGCAAACAGAGCTAGAACCCGATTCTGGCGATCGTCCTGGCCGGCGCCACTAGCCATAGGCTTGAGCAGCAGCCTCAAAGCTCTCGTCTTTGAAGAGCTTGTTCCCTTCCATCCTGATCCTCGCGGGGCTCATACCTTGAAGTCCATGGAGGAAATCCTCGCCAAGGAAAGAGAGCACCTCGACGTTCGCGGGATTGTCAAGCGCGATGGACCAGTAGGACCTGGGATCCAGCCCTGAATCGCCGGAAACCCCGAGACCATCGCCGTGATCGCGCCCA